TACCGTCCTTCCATTGCCTTGTAGTTATGACTGGTTATAATAATTTGTAAACCTCAAGATTGTAATATCTCGCACAAATAAACTTTTTTCCCAAATGTATATTATTTTGCTTGCAATACAATTATAATTTTCAATCAACACCTTGTATTTCCAACCATTTTTTTTATCTTACATACATCATATCATATAAAGTGCTACATTAATTATTTCAAATAATCTCCTATTTAAACACATGTTTCCTTTACATATGTACTTCTGTTCCCCATATTTCTGGAACTCTTAGAAACGTCAATCATGTTGTTTTACATGGTTTTCCACTTTCCGAATTAAAAATCAATGTTGGTGTTAAGCACCAGGTGTACAAAAAAAATTGAGAATTTCACTATTCGAGTGTTTCTGAAATTTCTCTTTGAAGAGGCAACAATGGAGTGAGGGAAAGCAATTGGTTCTCTTTTGCTTCAATTCAAAATGAATACGTAGAAAGTAAAGAGAGAAATCAAAACTGAAGACCACTAACCAAAAGTAAGCGAAATTAAATGTAATATTACCAGTACTAAGTACAAGAACCCCTTGAAATTAATAGCTGGCTTCCCAATTCCTTTGTTTCTTTCATGATAGATATTTTGAGATAGCTATGAAGCATAATGGACAAATAAAAGAAGATTTAAATAAGTACTTTCTCATATTGAAATTTAATGGTTTATGAGTAAATGCAAATGAAACAAGAAACATCTTAGATTTTGCATAACATTCTCCATCAATATTAATTCCATTATTTGATGCCGGCTTTGCAAGCACCCAGAGGCTCCAGTGCCCAAGAGCAGTTGGAAATGCTGATTGTAATCTAGCACCATTTCATTTGGTCACCCCCAATTCATTTGATAACAATAACTTCAAGAATCTGATGCAAATGAAAGGCCTCATATGAGACCAGGTTCTCTTCAGTGGAGGATCAACTGCAGTCTCTTCTCCGAATCTAGCAGAAACGTCAAACCTTCTCTTGTTGTTTTACATGGTCTTCTTAATAATAAATCCATGGGGGTCGTTTGCACGGGAGGTAAAATACAATTCCACCATTCAAGTGTATCTGAAAGAAGCAACAATAGAGGGAGGGAAAAATATCTCTTCTTTACCTCTCTCCGACGTACACTCCTTTGCTTATATTGCCCTTAGCTCACTGCTAGATCCCCTGCACATTATCTCTCTTTCAGCATCAACTTTGGCAGCATTTTTAAGGTTCAGTCCCTGTCTTTGCTTATTTTTTCCCATCTCACCCTTCATCTTACCCTCGGCAACATCAACTTTTGCCTGATTCACAGCCTCCCTTGAAGTTTTCTGGCCCAAGTATATGAAATATATCTGTACCTTGCAACATCAACTGGTTGCTTGAAGCATGAGTATAAAATCTGAGCTGGTTGAAGTCAAGCAGCTTGCCTCTAAAAACTTCTTCCATAATCATATGAAATGCAAGAACATGAGTATCTCCCTCAATGCCAATAGCACCTTCAACATGCTCCTAGATGTAAATAGTAGAGGCTGGAATTCTTTGTAGCAATTTCCATCTCTCATACAATAAATATTCCTGTAGGCTCAAAGCTGTTGCCAAGAAATCCATCTGATGGTATAAACCCCATTAATCAGGTTCAACTCCGAAATTCTGCAAATCAAATCCTTTATAGCTCAAAGAAACAAAATCTCTTTGATCACCAACCTCAATACTTCGTAGCCAGCGAGCATGTTTTTGGTGGGAACGTCCTTCAAATAGAAATTACTGAAAAATAGTCCAAAAGGTCACCAATAATCACTGCAGGAGCATTGATTGTCCTTGAAACGATGAAACCGGCTGTTGTCCCTCACAATGATTTCCCTGCCAAGTATCCCAGAGAAGAATTTCATCGCACTGTGGCAATCAACACAGACCCTTAGGTTCTTCGTTATCCTTATTGGGACACCAGGCGGGAGAGCAATAAGGGCAAATGCAAGTGCAATTTTTTCACTGTGAGACCATACTTCCGATTCTTTCTCTTCCTCTTCTAAATCATAAAGCGAAACCTCCGTATCAGGAACATAACCAGCAGCTTTCATATCTTTTTTTAATTTATCTAACATTGCCTGAATCTCAAAATTTCTCTCATGAGATGTATCCTTTGCTTGGAATACATGGAGAGAATTCTTAATGGACATCCAGCTATATCCAACACCCTTCTTGATCCCCACATCCTTCATCTCTTCCCTTACATGGTTGGCCTCTTCCCACCTGCATTTATTGTCAACAACAATTAGGTTTAAATGAGACTAACAGATAGATGAAAAACCACCACACTAGCAACAAATAAGTATAAATATAACTTTGATATCTCAAAAAGTTTCAGTTATTTTCTGACAACTCCAGAACAGGAATAATAATGCCAATCTCCTATGAAAGGGCATCAATAATAAATTTAAAGCACAGATGTAATAGAACGACCATGTCATGGAGACAAACACAGATGTCCATAAAAGACTTTATTTTTTACTTTCCAAAAAGTGATTCTTCAATTAACTCTGCCTATAACCAAGTTTAGACCCAAAAAGAAACCATTTATACTCTGCCATTTTCAGGCAACATCCTGTATGAACAACTATGGGGCTTTCCTATACACATATTAATCTTAGGTTGAACAAGGTACATCAACTACCTGCCAGCAGCTGCAAACATATTCGAAAGGATTACGTGATTGCCAGAGTCCATAGGATCAAGTTCAAATAAATTTTCAGCCGCAATTTTCCCCAGTTCTGGCTTTTTGTACACTTTGCAAGCCCCTAAAAGAGCACCCCAGACTGAAATTGTCGGATGAATAGGCATGCTCTTTATATACTCATACGCACGCTCAACAAACCCAGCACGTCCCAACATGTCCACAACGCAAGCATAGTGCTCAGCCCCTGGTTCGATGCCATATTTCCATCTCATTGATTCAAAGATATCCATCCCTTTGTTCACCATTCCACCCCTACTACATGCTGTCAACACACACACGAACGTCACATAATTAGGCAGCACCACAGAACTTCCACTTGTCATCTCCTCAAACAATTCCAATGCCATATCAGCACGTCCTTGATGAGCATACCCACCAATCAACGCATTCCAGGTGATCAAATTCCTGTCTGGCATCTCATAAAATGCTTGCTCGCAATCATCTATACTTCCACACTTCCCATACATGTCTACTAAAGCACTCCCAACAAAAACGTCCCTTTCAATACATGCCTTCACTGCAATCCCATGTACAGCCCTGCCAAATTCAAGGTCTGCCAGCCCCGCACAAGCACTAAGCACACTTGATAACAAGAAATCTGTTGGTTCAAAATTCCCTCTCCTCGCTTCCACAAATGTTTCACAAGCCTTCTCCCCCATATAATTCTGCTCATACACAGCCACCATGCTACACCAAGACACAACATTCCTATCCATCATCCCATCAAAAACCATCTCGGAAAACTTCACTTCCTTACATTTCCCATAAAAATCTATCAACCCATTTAATACCGCCACATCCCCTTCACAACCATATCGAATAACATAACCATGTAATTGTTGTCCTAGCTTTAAATTCAAAGAGTCTGCGCAAGCATTTAACACAGCACAAAAAGTAATCGAATTTGGACCATCCTCTCTCAGACCCTCCACTCCTACATATAATAGCTCAATAAATTTAATGACAGCATCTTTAGGCTTGCCATTAACCACTGCATTGCAAATATAAGCATTCCACATTGCGATATTTCTGTGAGGCATTTTATCAAACATTTTACATGCATCATCGTTTAAGCCAGCTTTATAATACATGTCAAAAGCGCTGCATCCGACATAAACGTCGGAGGTCAATTTTAGTTTCACTGCTAAAGCATGAAACTGTTGTCCGAGGAAAGGGGAGTTGAGGGCAGTAGAGGCTTTGAAGAGGCAGGGGAAAGTGAAGTCATTAGGGAGGATATTGTCAACGCAGCGCATTGAAGAGAACTGTGACAGGGCAGATGTGAAATGACCATTTTGGACGGAGCCGGAGATTAGGGATGTCCAGGTGACGACGGAGCGAAAGGCCGGGGGAGTGAGCGAGAGGACGTGTTGGGCTGAGTCGAGCCGGTCGAGTTTGGAGTACATGTTGATGAGGTGGTTAACAAGAAATGAAGGAAGCTGGTTTTGGTATAAGGTTCTAAAGATTTTGGCGTGGATGGCTCGGCCGAGTCGGATTGAGGAGTGAGTTGACACGGCGGAGGTGAGTAAATCGCCGAGGGCATTGGCGGAGAGGAAGGGCATCGCATGTGGTGGCTGCCGCCAGGCGCCAACCCATATTTCTGTTTTGAGACGTTAACAAACAACAAGTGTTTAAATTTGGGCACGAAACCGCCAAGCTCTTCAAGGCGTGGTCAGTTGATAATGCATATAGTATCACGCCTTAGAACGCCAAAATAATTGCTCCATATCCCTTGTCAGTACGGCCTATCATACAGCTACAGCCCAAAATCAAATCTTCTTTACGAACCAATTTACGTATAAATCCTAGAAATAAAAGATATTCAGAATTGAAATACTAATTAGGGAAGACTTTTTTAAACACTTACGGCTCTGTTTGGATTCAGACTTTTTTGAAAAATAACTTTTTCATCTACACTGTTACAGTAATATACAAACAAAAACAGTTTCAAAAATACCATATGCAAAATGTTTTACTACCATCAATTCTCTGATAACAAACTCTAGAATATTACCATTCCAAATATTAAGTTCTAAGATATCGTATTTGTGAAAGCGTGCACAATTTTAAACTGCATTATAGTGTGAAATCCCTTATTAATAATAACTTATTACGTGTAATTCTAGTGTACTCACGAGACCATACTTGTTATGAAAAATAAAATCATAAGACCCATTAGGAATATTCTGTGGGGTGAAATGGACCAAGTATAAGACATCCTATGGGGACATGATTTTGCTTGGAGCATAGGGTGCATTTCATTGGTGCAATTGTACGTATTCCATTGCAAAAACTATAATGCCCAAATTTTGAAGGCGCCCACTTCTCTGAGCAGTTAAACTCACGCTTACGGCTGTGCTTCTAAACCTTGAAAAGTCTAAAATCCCGAGAGTCATAAAAGTGTATGTTATCAGCTCCATATGTGCTAAAGTCCAGCATTTTTTAGGGTAACAAGAATCACGCCTTCGAGGTGTTTGCGAAAATGTTCAAGAGAACCGCGTTTATCTATTGTCAAAGGCGTACACTGGTAAATGTGAAGCTGAAATGGGTAAAAGACCGTGTCTTGGACAAGGCAGTAGCTGGAGGGAGAGAGCTCAAAGCTGCGTGTGTGCTCATCTCCCTCATTGCCTCGGACCCAGATGGTTGTATTCCCATTTACCGCCTGTCGCGTAATCGGGGACAACTTGGCCTCCCAGATGGCCTAAAAGTGTCAACTTTTATGAGAAGATACCCGAACGTGTTTGAGGAGTTGCATGTTCCTGATAGTGGAGGGACTCGAGTGCCTTGGTTCAAGTTATCAGCTGAAGCCTTAGATGTTTACCAAGATGAGGTGGTCACGTTTCAGAAATGTGAGGTGGATATTCTTGATCGGTTTAAGAAATTCATGATGTTGTGTAGAAAAAGAACGCTTCCGCTGCAGACGATTGATCAGCTGAAATGGGATCTGGGCTTGCCGTTTGATTATGAGAAATCATGGATTAGGAAGCATTCAGAAGTTTTCAAAATGGTTCAGCTAGATGATGGGCGTGAGGCCCTGAAGCTCGAAAAGTGGGATCAGAGCTTAGCGTCGTCCCACTTGGAAAGGAATTCAGGTTCTTCTGTGGCAAACAATAGGGTGTTGGCGTTTCCAATTGGATTCACGAGGGGTTTTGGTTTAAACAGGAAATGTATGAAATGGTTGGAAGAGTGGCAGAAGCTGCCATATACTTCTCCGTATGTTGATGCCTCCCATTTGGATCCTCGTACAGATGTATCTGAGAAGAGGATTGTCGGAGTGTTCCATGAGCTTCTGCACCTAACCCTGCAGAAGAAAACTGAGAGAAGGAATGTTAGTAATTTGCGAAAGCCGCTGGGATTGCCTCAGAAGTTTACCAAGGTGTTTGAGCGGCATCCAGGGATATTCTACATTTCAAGAAAGGGTGATACACAGACTGTTGTTCTTAGGGAGTCTTGCGATCGCGATAAGCTAATTGAGAAACATCCTCTTGTTGATACAAGGGGTAGATATCTTAGCATGTTGAAGGAAGGATTTTTGGAGCGGAGCAGGGGATCATACAAGAAAGATAAGATGGATGATGAATTGATGAGCTCTTTGGATTGTCAAAAGAATTTAGTCAGATTTCAATCAGAAGAAGAATCAGACTGTAGTTTCCTTTCAGAATATGAATCAGATGAAACTACTTGATGAGGATTTAAAACTTGTCAAGGCAGTTAGCATCAGTGCACGATTGGACTCTTGTGATGTATGATTTGTACCAAGAGGACTGGTCGTCTCTGTCAAGATAGCAATAGGCCGTAAAATAGAAAAATCTTGAGTAACAATAGAATACACGAGAAGTAAATACAAATTGAACCAAAACCTGAAACATTGGTTAAAGATCAGAGGGTTACGGTTGACAAAATTTTCTGCTCATAGTAGTTTGGAAAGAATAAAGTTCATGCTCAATTACCTGCTTGTTTTCTGAACTCCTAACGAAGTCAATAAAATTATTCAAAGGAACAAAAACAAAAAAAAAGTGCTTTTGTCGTATTTCCCTGTGGCTCACAAAAACTGATTTAACTGATGCAAAAACTCCAGATGAGATGTCTTTTTTGAGCTGAACAAGTACTTGGAATACCCGGCATAGTACAAAAATGCAGTTGCAAGGAGAGTGGAATTGCTCATTGGATAGTAGGCATTTTGACCTTACAAATTAAGGATTAAGAGTACACCGAATTTACATTAAGAAATATGCTCCCAGAAAACAATAGTAGTTCTTTAAGGCCCCGAAAACAAGTAATTTTGAAAACATAATTACCAGCTTCACCACTTACTTTCAAGCATAGCAAGATATAAGAGGAAACCCATAATAGAAAAGCCCTTCTTCACCATTCTCCGTTGAAAGCTTAACAAACCGCGAATAACAATATGAAGAACTATAAATCTCTCAATCAAGATTTTGTCAGAATGAAAATTTGAGTTATGTGTAGCATTCTGATTGTAGTTGAGATCAAGCCATATGGACCCTATGACGAAGAAGACTCTGGCACAACCTTACAAAACAATGTAATTTATCAAATATTAATTTCTGTACAGCTTAATTCACAGGGAGCAGACCCCTAAGAAATCTCTGATAAACCTTCTTAAAATCAAAGCTGCAAGACCTTATTAGGTCCAGACGCATGACTGTTTACTCTCCCAAAGTCCATGAACCCTTTCCTCTGTTTGGAAGAGACCAACTAGTCATGTCGGAAATATAGCATGCATAATTGTCATAGACTAACTTCTTTGCCCACTTAAGCGACATACTTGATTTCTTCTCCTCCAGTAGGTTCTCCTGTTCCATCTCCGGTATCATTGGCAAGAAGGGACCTGAAAGATGTGGAACTCATATGTCCTCCTAAATTTAGTCCTGCCGATGCAGAATCAACAAATTCGAGTTGCTTTTTGATCCACGGTGGATCACTGGCCCTAAGCCAGAGAGCTTCATCAGTAGACATGTTCTTGAAATCTGGATGATTAGGTTTTGCCTTGCTATTCCGGAAATCCTTCCACTCATATGGATTTGCAAAGAATACTTGCCATAAATGAAGCCGGTTTCTTCGTCTCTCTTCATAATCTTCACCTGAAATTGATGATAAATAAATGCTGTCAAAAAAAACACATACATAGCACACAGGGATACTGCACAACAATTCTCTTGAAGAATTATCTGTAGATGATCTTGTCTCTTAGATATATATATATATATATATATATATATACACACACACATAAACGACAGAAGATTATAAACAACATCCGACTGCAATACAATTATTAAAGGTCAGATAACCTGGTCAACACTCTGGAAAGGCCAGACCAATGTCAATATCAAATGCTGAACTCTTTATTTGCTCAATCTCCAAAAGTTAGACATTAACAAAACAAAAACCATCATAATTTTTTTACCAATAAGCACAAAAATTAACATGCATCATGAAATGTGGGAATTATAGACTGTACCTTGTACATCTACTTTCTCAGCCTGTTGATGCACTGTTTTTTCTCTCTGCTGTGCTACATAATTTAATTCCTTAGCAATAACCTACATTAGAAACAATTGACCAGAAAAAAATTAATACACATGCTATACAAAAGAAATCAATATAAGGAAATAGAAATTCCAGATGGGCACACTTAGGTACATATTCAGTGCAGATGAGTACACAAGCAGCTCAGTTCCTTTCTTGTATTTAACAATAGTACAATAGTTGATTGATAATAAATGAGCCATGTTAAATGTGTTCAAATGAATGTTCAACTTGGGCAAGGCTCGTCAGTTAATACTGGTAACAATCTCAGAGAGAGGGGGGAAAGAATCAAAAGAGCAGCAGTTCCCCAATTGATTTGAATCTGGACAAGTTTAAAACATTGGGCTGATGCTCCATGCTTTGTGATGGATGAATAGCAGGAACCACAACAAATAACAAAAAACTTGAACTCATAAGCAGATTCTAGCTGAAAAAGGCAAGCAGATATCAAGCTAAGAACCAGAACCAATGACAACCACCTTGAAAGTCATAAGCAGATTCTAGCTGAAAAAAGCAAGCAGATATCATATCAAGCTAGGAACCAGGGCCAATGACAAAAACCTTGATACTCATAAGCAGTTTCTGGCTGAAAAAGTCGAGCAGATATCAAGCTACATTGATACATGTACTTAAACAAAATCATCTCAAGAAAACATAGATAGGGGAAGCAAAAGCTGAAATTAAGGAAAGAATCCCCACTTCTCTGTCATCCAAAGCAAAAGGTCAAGTGAAATGGTTGAAGAATTAACAAACATCCACCAACTTTACCCATTCAGCCTACATCCCACAGAAGAACAATAACAGCTAGTTTGGGAGTTCAGATTTCAACGGAATCAAAAAGAAAGGAAGAGAAAGATAAATTTTCCTACGTTTGGGACTTTCAGAAGAGATGGAAAGGAAAAGAAACGAAAGGATTTTGAAGGATGTTAAGTGCTGCTACAGTGCGCAGAAAGCGAAGGAAAACTGATGGAAGCTTACAAAACTTTTTCTAATTGCCCATTTTATCCTCACAAAACTATTGAATGAAATTTTATTTACATATATATCCAAAATCATTCTACTTCCTTCTAAAACTCCCAAACAACATTAAAATCTCTTCTCTTCCTTTATATTCTTTTCTTTTCTTTCATAACTTAACATTTCCCATCTTTTCTTTTCTAACCTAAACTCCCAAACTGGCTGTAAGGCATAAGTTATCTGCCACTAGATTACACTGGCTGGTAAATGCACTAAAAACACAAAGGTGCTGGCAACATGCAATAATTAGTTGTGTGAGCTGATTAAACAAGGTTTTGGCCTCAAACAACAGAACCCTACACCGCTACAGGCACACTCGGTAGTATACCAAAAGGCACCAGTTCTGTTCAGCAGTAATATTATTTATCTCTATCAAGCAAAACACTAAACTGAAGGATTCAAAGCCTTATGATTCATTTAAGACCAAGCATACTGTGGTCAAACAACCTATCATAATTGCAGAGATTACGAATATAATTTTGTAAACGTAACGTTTCTACCTCATAAAACATCCTGGGATTACCATTTTTGTCAGCCTTCATGTATGATCCTAAATTGCCCCAAATGTATACAAAATCGTTCGGTTTTAGATGATGCATCGACATCTCTGCCATCTCATCCCACATTTTCAACAGAATCCTGTTCAATACAGAAACTCAAAAATTAAAAGGGAAAAAAAAAAGAACTCAAAAAAAGCACTATCCTAAAAGCCCACTTGATGAATCTATACAATGTTAAGAAAAAGTTACCTAAAAGTGTTTTTAGATTTAGGGCAGGCCTGGACGTTGAGCATCGTATGAACCCCATATCGATCAAAATTTTGAATTCTTTTTAACGGACGCTCAATTGTTCCAATCAAGCTAACAGAATTAGCAGGTTGCTTTTGATATTGGCTGGAGCATGGCCATTCCAGGTTCAGGGGACGACTGTTGACAGAATTCCCGCCGTATATTATGGTGGACGGGCGCTGGAACTTGAGGGCATGGTTGTACACTGGACTCGTTTCAGTCTCAGAATCATCTTCTGAGAAATAGCTCCATCTTTTTTGAGTTGTACTCGAAGGTAGAGAGGAGAAGGGTCGAGCTCGAACTTCAACTCCAACAGGATTCTTGATGGGAAGTTTCGAAGGGCTTGAGGAAAGACGAATCTTCTTGAGCAGAGTAGTGAGTTGTGAAGAAGTGGGCATACCCAACTGATTTCAGACAAAGATTTGAGAAATTTCCGTTAGATTCTAACAGTGGAAGTGGAGGAGGGTACAGGAGGATCGGGCCGGTGGTGCGAGGCGGCGGGAACAGAGGAAAGCCGGCTAGGGGTTTAAGGGTGAATTTTGTCACGTGCGTTTTTATAGTAAGAGAATAGTTTTCGAGTTTTTATTTTTTTTTGATAATATTTCGAGTTTTAGAACTAGCAATTATGAGACTTTTAATTATTATAGTGCCGAATTAGGTAAAACTTATCATTCACCATGAGAGCACCAAAGCATTAGCAAATATCGATTTTCGTCTTTGGATAGGCAAATTTTAGAGTGTTCAAAAGAAATGAAATTTTTACGTTTCTCTTCCATCTTTCTGAAACTCCTCTTCTTTCTCTCTAGAACTCTTCCAATCAAAGTAATCTCCATCTCTTTCATGGGCGAGAGATCAAATCTAATCTTTTTCTATTGGGAGGATCTACTCTCTATAGTTTTTAATCTTTTTCTATTGGGAGGATCTACTCTCTATAGTTTTTAATCTTACTCTCTATAGTTTTTAGTTTCTATTGGGCCTTTGCTCGATGTGTAAACATTTTTATTGATCAATGCAAGAGTACTATCGTTTTCGAAAAAATATATATATATATATCTTCTAGTAAGAGTTTTTTCTTTTCTATATTGTTCTAATGAGAGTTTTATTCTTTTCTGGGTTTTTCCTTATGAGAGTTTTTTAGATTTTTATCTTTGTAAAATTTGAGATTTTGTGAATCTAAAATCTAGTTTCTCAATTCTACAATTTTTCTATTATTGTCAGGTCTAAATTTTTCTGTAGACTTGAATCAGTTTTAATCAGAACTGATTGTTAGCAGACATGAATTGATGTATTGGGTTACAGTGATTCATTTAGACGGAAGATATATAAGAGCATCAATATAATCTTTATTTGTATTATTTTCTTAGATCTGTTATATCTATTAATTTCAAATCTATATATATCTGTATCATGTTTGTTTGACGGATTTTCTGCCATTAATGCAGATTTGTTTGAATGAAATGATCTTTTCTATCAAAAAAAAAGAAATGAAATTTTTCAATAGAGTGCATGGTTGAAAAATAAAAATGGCATTTGATAAATAAATGCTTAAAAAGGGCAGGACTAAGATTTCTTAATGGAGTCTCACGTATTTCAATGCAGATTAATTACCTACAGTGTTGAATTCGGTATTACTATAATTTTGAATAGAATAACCTAAATTTAAGACAATAACTTGTTTGGCATATTTATTTTGATAAATTAATCAGCTCTTTCTCTTTTTTTAAAGAGAATTACTATAAAAATGTTCATAAGTCCTAAGTAGGGGTGTTTATGGGTTAGATCCGCTTCCGAATGTCTGCATTATGCAGATCGGGTTAACTGGATATTTGATTCGTATTCGATTTTTAAAATTTAGAAAAATTTAAATTCCAAAGATAAAATGTATTATACTTTTAAAGATATAGTGATATATTGTACTTACAAATGAGTTTTTAGTCATACAAAAATAGTTTTAGTCGAAATTAATCTTATTCAAACAAATAAGATTCAATATTTCATCTACAATATTTTATCCACAAATTATATGACAATGTGTTTAAAAACTTAGCACCATATACAAAGAAAAGCCTATTTTGAAAGGGGACATAAAAATAAAATAAAATAAAAGAAACAAGAGATGGAACTATTGTAAATTAGTGAATTTATTGTATAAAAAATTCTATAAAAAATCGGATATCTGCATATTACAAAAAATGATATCCAAATCCAATCCGTATTATTCTTTGATTCGAATATGACTCGATTCGCCAAATCGGGTGTCCGCTAATTTGGATCGAATCCATCCAGATCACATCACCAGGGCTTTTTGGATCATCGAGTCAAGATGTGCACCCCCCGACTCCCACGTATGAATTTCATCCCCGAGTCCAATTGAAACTTGTTCTTGCTGTTAACAAAGGCAAAGAGGCAGCTATCTTAACAATGATCTTTTGGTTACACGTTACAATCGAAATGAGAAGCACGGTAACTAACTTCTCTTGCCCAAGAAAGTAAGTCCGTCCCGTCATCACAATCTCCTACCAATTTGCTGTTGAAAGACTCTCCCCCACAAACGCATCCAATACACGCAATTATGCCTCGAATGAATTAAAACATGCAATTGTTTTTAAAAAGAAAAAAACTAAACTAAACCAAACCAAAACCAAACCAAACTCTATTAGGTGAGCCTTAGCCAATTAGGCTACCAAATTCGTGGTAACAAAGTTGTTCTCACCTAGCAAAAGTGCATCTAGGCAATATAACATTAACTAAAAAACATCTCCATTAGGTGAGCCTTAACCAATTAGGCTACCAAATTCGTGGTGATGAAGTTGCTCTCACTTTGTAAAAGTATATCTAGGCAAATATTAACTAACTTCACTTTTCATGAATGCAATACATATCATAAATTTTCTACTATTTTTTATGAGCCGTGACTTATTGTCAATCCATTTTTGTGTTTGAAAACGATGAAACTCCCTAAATATGTGAAAACAAACCAAGATTTTATCCCTTTTCTATTTGAATAAATCTAATATACACTAACAGTGTATACACTATCACCGTTATATTTATGACATGTGTATAAAAATTGAATTTTAAATTCAAATTCTACATAATTGTCATTCATCCAACGCTGATAATTTACACACTCTCACTGTAGGAAAGATTAATTCTTTGTATTTTACAGTTTTAAAGCCTTGAGATTGGATTAAAATATTTAAATTGAGAGGGAAACTTGAAATAAGTACAGAATTCATTCATCAAAGATGTTAACGGATACTTATGCATATCTTAATAGAAAATAATTGCGGTAATTTTTATACATATCGAAAATTAATAGAAAAGGAAAATCAAAGTCTGATTTATGACTTCAAATTTTTAAAATTTAAGCACCAGCCAACCAGAGAGAATATGATAACTAACAATAAATGTGTTTCATTTTTCAAGTGGGAATAAAAAATGCAAGATCAAAAAATATCCAGAGAAAAAGGACAAAACCGTTTTCCAGGAAATGAATAGTCATTGTCTACAAGTCATTTCTACCGATTTTCATTTCTTAGTATTGAATTGCACCGGCCAAACCGACCCATGAAGGGGCCTTAACTTCCACGATTTGCAAAACAGCCACAACAATAAAGGACAAAAAAAAATAAAAACAAAGAAAACAGCCAGGACCTCTGTTTTGTGGGTTGGAGGAAGAATCAGGAGGCAGCAAAATCACAACCTTACATTCAAGAACTTAAAGCTTCAAAAAAAAAAAAATTGGAACACCAGAAATTAAAGGAAAAAAAAAAGGCAGAATCAAGAAAAAAAGAAGATAGGAAAACATCCCTTTATGCAAAATTGAAGGAGGTATATTAATATCTTATCCCTCTCTGCAAAATTCCAGGTTATATTATAAGAAACTGATAAAGCTGCACTCATCCCATCACCACAAAGAAGACTGGAAAGAGGGTATTAGTGCTTCTCATCTAAATATGTACATCTGATTAACCCCAAAAAGAAAAAAAAAGAAAAGAAAAGCTAGAAAAACCCATAAGACAAAAGGGGGGAAAAACAGAAGAAGAAGAAGAAGAGGAAGAAAGCAGGTACAAGGAAGATGAAATCACTGTCCCTAATATGATTATTTAGTGTCCAACAGAAATAGGTCTATTTTCAGCCAATCCCAAGGGTGATCTTGAGCGCTGTTGCCGACTCATGAGGGTGATTTCTTTAAGAACTGGTCTCATCTCTGGCTGCTGAAGAGCAGGATGCTTGAATTTCTCCATTTCTTGCTTGATTTTCTTGACTTGGCTGTGAACTGCCATCCCAAGATATCTATCTTTATCTTCTTTACTGTTGCTGTTGTTGTTGCTGCTGAAGTTGTTGGACATGGTAGTCTTTCTTGGCTGCTGCTCCATCTCTGCTTGCTTAACCATGGTTATATAAGATAGACAAGAAGAAAAGAAAGGAACAAAGGAAGGAAGGGAAGAAGATGGATGGAGAAAAATAACAGAACCACAAGCTTCTTGCTCCAAAACTAGAACAAAACTAACTCTTGTTTCTCTTGAGGGAGATGTGAAATGTTAGAGGGATTGCTGTATTTATATTATGGGGAATGGACATTCTGAAAAGGACACACGAGTAGTTCATGAATTGGTAGAATAGGAGGAGCTGAGAAGGTAGCAAATAATGACTTCAACAGGGGAAAGGTGTCCTGGTTGGGAGGATTTGAAAAATTGGATTTTTCTTTAGCTTTAGGAAGAGTTTATGGATTTGTGATTTGCCAAGTGTAACCTTTGGGGGCGTCTAGAACTTCTAGATTGACATTTGTTTGCGTGGCCAAGTTTGATTAAGTAAAGGATATTTCATATTTTGATCAAGAACAGGATTTTTGTGAAGGCAGGTTGACCAAAGTTTGGTGAGTTGGGATGGCTTTTTGAATCTGTGCTTGTTGGCTATTGGGTTCTTGAATGGTATAGAAAATGACCCTTCTCTGTCTGGGGTTTGCACTTTGCAAGATAAGAGGAGGCTGAGTAGATGGCCAGCCATTTGTAAACTTGGTGGCGGAGTCCTAGCAATTCCTTCACTTGACTGATTAGCGTTAATAGCCAATTGGCAGAGGAAAACTCAATACTTGAAAAAAAATGGAAAAAAAAAAAAAAACTCTTTGGCTCTTTTGGCTAGGATTTGGTTAAGTCATGATCAAGGTATGATCTCAGCATTAAAACTTGTTAGCATACATTTTCATACAAGTAATTAGGGAGCGTTTGATAATGTGGATAAGAAGACTTGACCAAAGATGACTAGCAAGTTGTATAATATGAAAGTGTTTAAATTCTATTATAGTATTGAGGGTTGTTTCAGTAAATAGAAAATTTCTTTCTTTTTATGTCTTATATACAACAAGTAGAGAGTTGGTTTCAATTGAGGTCATGCTGTATTAATAGAAACAAGAAAAGTTGGGATTTTTTGAATGATATTGAAGAGGATTATAGTTGGGACTCTTGAATTGTGCCATTCTTTACAATTAAAAGTAGAGAATCCAATGACCAAACATCATTTGCTACTAGCCTCCTAC